ACAGATAATGCTTTCTCCTATGAAATCCATTGAAATCTTCGCACTATTACCATTTTTCCTTATCATTATACATTAATTTTAGGAAATTCCTCTTCAGTCTATGGTCGATAATGCGGTAGTTTTACTTAACAAAGATGATGGATATCAGGCCAAGAAATTAATTTCATTCATACGTATGTTTCATACATGAAAAGGCATGATGTATCAATTGACAGAGTTAGAGGTCTCACTGATATAATCTACTGGGTTCATTTTTTTGATATAACATTACCTTTGGCGATTAAGAAAATACCAGTTTATTATTTAGTAAAATTATTCTTTCTATAATCGTGATCAATTGCCTAATAAAACTGAATGGAACTGATTTAAGGTAAGTTTCATGAAACAACTGATTCAAGTGAGGAAATAATACGCTTCCTACTGCTTTTGTCAAGGCTTGGTGATAATTATGCTGACAAAAGTCAAACCGAGACTTCGCTTCATTGTTCCGGATTCGAAATACTTAATACCTGGAAACAAACCGTAAATGACTCCCGATATTAATTATAAATTATTCATTTTGTCATTACATTCTTTCAACTTCGATTTATTTGTGTTTCGTTTGTCGTGAGATCATTTTCTGTTGTAACTGGGTAAAATGCATTTAAGTCACAAATTTCTTGTATGTTAAGTTATTATAAGTATGCTGTCAGTTCATTTTACACTGACATTAATCATTGATGCTTTTATTTATAAAAGTTTAAATAACTGCAATTGTGTGTCAATTGCAGGAAGTTCTTTTCAATTTTATCTATATTTTTTGAACTTTTTAGATCTCGGAGAACCACGCAGTTGCCATGAGAAGACCCTTTTCTGATCGCACAAACTTATCATTTGTCATCTACCAGGTAAATAAGTTGACTAGAAATTTTTGATTTTCCGCTCTGATTTTGTTTTTCATTTCCGCTTCAAGTTTTAAATGGAGAATTTTGAAATTACGTTATGGAATATTTATGTTCAGCAGCGTTATGGAAGCAGCAAAGAGGTCGCGATTCAACATCAACCATGTTATAGTGGCGAGAAAACAGTAAACATCGGTATGGTTAGGTTCAATATAAGTCATATAATGCCATCCGATATTTTCACGGGTTTTAAAATCTTCCTGATGTATCTATATGCTTGTCTTAGTTTCTTTTTAATCTCTTTCAAAAACAAAGGATGCCAAACATTGAATTGCTATTTACATTTACCAGACAGTGTTTATTTCTTTTTGTTGACAAGCAACTTTTGATCTTGGCAGGTCGCTAAAACATAAATGATAATGAAATAATTTAAAAAGTTCGGCAATTATAAACATTTAGATATAAATCTTTCAAAAAGCTCTGAAAGTTATGAAAAGATTCGGCATATCATTATGGATGAGAGAGGACGTATACATCCGCGAGCATGTGATCCAGAATTGCGCAGTTTATGCAAATTAAGAATTGGAGACGTGTTTTATATAGTTAGTAATTTGTAAATTATATATTGCTTTTGAATTTCTAAAATTTGAAAAGTTTGTTATATCACATCTATTTCTAAAGTGATTTTCCTTGATTTTTGCAATGCCAGAGAGTGGAATCATTACCCTCAGGAGCAGTGAAACGCAACGATGAATTGGTAATTTTTATTTTATTTTAGATATCGTGGCATGAATATCTCAGATGTTTAACACATGTATTAATGGGTGAAGAATCAATTTTATTTCGCAGAAATGCTGTAAGTCACATCTTAAATCTTTTTCATTATGTTAATTGTTTCACATTAAGCTCATGCTATTTATTTCTGATCTAAATCATAATTTAATATTTAATCATGTTTTCTTGAGTGTCGCTAACAAACGAAAGTTAAATACCATATTTCATTTATATGCTACTGAAAAAGTTTACTTTTTTGAGATTGATTGTAGAACTATTTCGTCTCCTTTTTCATGATGTAGTTTTTTTTAGATTCTGCGTTTTTCATAAAATAGTGGAATTCGATATTTTTTTTTCAGGATGGTTTTTTCAATATTTCAAAAAAATACAAGATGTTTTTGGAATTGGAAGATGTCAATTTATTGCCACGATTAGCACTACCATTTCTAAAGTTTGCTAACAGGTGACTGTGTAACACCTTACCTTAACCTTCAAATATCGAACTAAGCAAGTATACAATTTGTTTTCACTTGGGACAGATGATTTCAAAGTTTTCTTTTTTTATTTGGTTTTTTCCAACGATCTCTTGAAAAGTGATGTGAGAAGGAGAGGAGAAACCGAAATATGATGTGAAACAAAAATTGAATTGTGGCTGGAATTAGATAAATATTTGCCATTGAAAATACCCAAATATTTCGTTTATTATTAAAAATATTTTCGTGAATTAGCTTGATAATCTTTTTTAGGTTATTTTCCTTGGAACGATTCCTTTACGGTTCCGATTTTGCGGAAGGCTCATCAATGTTAGATTGTAAAATTCATAAAAATACAACAAGAGCATTGTTAAATGTGAAGTTATGCGCTTCTGAACAATTGTGGAAATTCCGGTTGGAATTTGACAGATAATTCACGGGGCTAATTTATGGAAAATAACTTTGAAATCGGATCAAATATTTTTCTGTGCTGTAACGGGAGTTAATTATATTTATCATTTGACAGAATAAATATGCTGCTGTGCTTCAAAATGACGGAATAGGAAAATGGACTTCGATTCGTTCGATATTAATTCATGAATTTACTTTTGCCTTACGGATGATAGTTTTTATTTATTTTTTTCATTTAGTAATGAAGTTAGACGTTATGTTGATGGCAAAGAAGAATGTGATAGCGAAAATATTAGAGAGTTATTGCGAGGACTTCTTGATATGTGCAGCGTTTTCAACCATTTTGTTGATATAATTCTCCATGTACAAACTACTGATGCGCAGGATGTATGTTCTTAATTTATGTTGATTTTTAAAGGCTGTTGAGTGAAAAATATTTAAAGATCGTAGAAATGATAGATAACATAATCTGGTTTAAAATCGCTCAAATTTTTTCGTGATATTATCAAAAAATGATTGCACCTTCTACTACTCTCTTCGAGGCTATTCTCTGCAATACCAAATATCCTTATCACTTACTTTTTCCTTGGAATCGTGAAATTAAAGAAATAATATCTTAATATTCGCGATCTAACATGTTAAACTTAGCAACTTATTCAACGAGTCAGATAATTTTATTGAATTTTATAGATAAATAAATTGTTAGATATATTTTATACTGTGAAAATTACAAAAGGACGAATGGTACCGGCTATTAAAAGATTTTGTGATGATATCCTTGTTGCACTTCTCCGGTACTATGCTGAGTAAGTAATTTTGTGACTTCATTTTCAAAAGAACATTTTTTCTCTTAAAATTTATTGAACTATAAAAGATATAAATTTGAAACTAATTACAGGCATTTTTAAAAAACTCTTCTACGTTATCGAAAAATTATGATTTTGTGTTTTTTTCTCACTAGTTCTTTTTTCTTGATTTCGTGTATTAAAATCTTTATAGATGCATCATGTTTTGGCTGGCGGAAGGCGAAGCGAATCCATGCGATGGTGTTTTCTCTTTTTTAGATACGGATACTGAAATATTGCAGTGGACAGGTGCATCATTTTTTTTGTTGACTTGCTTAATTTTGTGAAGTATCTTTAAGGTATTGCTTATGGATAGACTTTAGCTGCATAACAATAATGATTTGGCAAAATTTAAGTTTTTAACATTATAATATTCTCTTATTTAAGTTTATGGAGAAAAGAAATCTATCAGTCTAAAAGCATCGATGATCATCGCCAAAAATTTTGCCGACATATGGCTATTTGAGGGAAAATTCCGAAAATTAATATTGGCTTGGCCAAATTTGGAACAGTTAGCTTCTGAGGAGTCGAACTGTGTTACTGTTGTCAGTTGTTCTTTTATAGAGAATATGATGTATATAATATAATTGAATGCTTTAGATAATGAGTAATTGATTTTTTAGTATAAGTTGCATTCTTGTTTAATTTCAGGACGCGCTCAGTCCAAGAAAGAGGGGAAAGGAGAACAGATGGTTAGAGTATCTCTCTATCCATTTGATCGAACTAGCTGTACTCAATATTTCCTAAAATTTCAGTAAAATTTTAAAGTATAAATGAAAAGCGTACTGGATAAAAATAATTTTTTTTTTCAGAATGAATTAGGACTGTCAGAAGAAGAGATTCAAAAAGCATTAAGCTCAGATTTGTTTGGTGCGGTGGGATCACTTTTGGACTTCTACTTCCAGTAAGCTATATATAAAGAGCAGAAGTTTCAATAATGTCTATGCTAATTAATCATCAAGTGGATTAAACAAGAAATGTTCATAGTTTTTATCAGAGAGTTTGAGGCAGTTTGTTATAAGATTGCGTTATTGTAACTGCACTAACTGAGTGAATGCTGAGGATGATATTACGATCAGGGAAAATTTTATAGATGAGATATTTGGTTCTGATTTTTATAATGTAAATACTTCTTTGTACAGAGATTTTTCAACTTTCGTTCGACAAACGTTCAGTAATTTCTGAACTGTCTAATTTCCTTTATTTAGAAAAATCTATCTTTCGCAACATGCCATATTTACACGGTGTTACATAATCGATAAATTTAAAGAAACTGTGAAGCTTCTTCGAGATGTGTATTTATGTGATGATGAATATATAACAGAAATTTTCATGAGGTTATTTAATCTCCCTATTGTAAGTACTGGAACTGCATGTCAACCATCGCAATACTTCAATTTTAACTTTTGTGGTGTAAGTTAGATTATTGAATATGATTCTACGCTAGCTTTTTTAGCGAGCTTTCTTCTTAATAATTTCAGTGTTTTGTTAAGCGAGGAAAATGCTTTGGATTTGGATTTCAAATTCGGAAATTATCAAAATTTCCGGCTGGATGAAGTAATGGATTATCTTATATCCAAGAATTATTCCCCAACTCTTGTACATGGATTTTCACAATTAACAAGTAAGTCGTGTCACTTCAAACAAAGGTTTATTGGATAAGCATAGCACGAACTGGTATCAAATATTTAGTCATTTATATTTTGACATTCCCTCAATAATATTTCTTCGCTTTTCGTGATGTGGTGTTCGGATATTTGATATAGCTTTATTTACTTATCTGCTTAAGGCTCATCCGATGAAGAAGATCTAAAAGTACGGTACAAACCGCCATATCCTTTAAATATCATTTTTGCCCCGTCAGTTTTGATGAATTATGAGCGTATTTGGAATTTATTACTGAAAATTGCAGTGGAATGTACAGTTTTGGAGGTAAATTTTTTTGATTTTCAAATCATTTTGAGATTTTAAAAATTCTGAAATTTTAATCCGTCCAGGGATGTCACCAGCATCCATGTAATTTCATTTCAATAACAGTTTGTTACATGGCTATCTCTTATCGCTTTCATTAACATTAAAGCAAAGCATGAACTGCGCAGATCATCTCCGTGATTTTATTTAAGTCTCTTTATTGCTTAATTAAATAAAAGAGCACATAGCTTTGCAGAAAATGATGGTCCAGAAAGTTTGTATTTATAGTACTGCCCTGATGCAAATGCGAATGTGGAATTTTGTTCGAGCAATGCGCTGTTTTTTCCATGAACAGATAAGACATGCATTTGTGAACGAATATCAGGTTCTATTTAATATCTTCAAATTTATTTACTGCAATTATAGTGCGAAAATGAGAAGAAATAACCATTTTGCTGTAAATAGTGTATTTATTTGTATACTAAGTATCTGATATTAAGAAAGACTTGGATGCTATAAAGACAATTGGAGAAGCTTTTCAACTGCACAGGTATTTCACTTTGTCAATTTTTTCTTTACTGAAGTCGTCGTATTATTTGTGCATTTGAAATTTTATAAAGTTTTCCATACACTTAAGCTATTTAAAAAAAATCTTAATTTAGAGTTTCAATCATACAAATTGGCCTAGGTAATTCCACAAAAACTATATTGATATTAAATGCACATAAATCTATCTTGTACAGTTACATGTAAATTTTTAGGCGATTTGTGAAAAAATTGTGTCAACATTGTCTTTTGGGTCGGAAGCATGTGAAGTTGTGGAATGTGTTAGATGAATGTTTGATGTTGATTACCAAATATCGCCACTGCAGCACAGAATCATACAATATACTGAGACTGTTTAAAATTTTCAACGACTTTCACAGTAATGTAGATTTATTTTGCAATGGTAAGATTTTTATTGTTTAAAAGCTTATAAATCTCTATCGTTATTAAATATTTGACAGTCAAAAAGTTCTGCAGTGTTTCATTAATTTGAATTGTTTTTTGGTATTTAAATAGCATTTTATATATTATCCAAATATTTAGATGAACTAAGAAATACAGAAAGCGAAAACTACGAATTTTCCAAGTGACATTACATCACTAGAAGTTCGACTATTTAGCATTTATCATATTATTTATTTTGTATTGTTACAAATCGTTATTTTCATTATGGAATTTTTGGATTTAAGGATGATCTAGTATTTACTGCAATTAAATTTCTATTTGTTTAAATTTAAGAAGATTAAGACGAATGATTTGATGGATTCAAAGGATTAATTAACTGAAAATTTCGGATCTTACTGAAATAATAAGAAATTATGAAAATAATCATAGCTTGATAGTTGAGACTTGTTTACGGGTGTACAAGTAAATCTGATAATTTAGGACTGGCAGCATATTTCGATCTAATGTTCTTAGGGAAAGGAAAGGAAAAGTAAAGTGGCAATTACCACACTTATTTCAGAAAATTTCTGAAATTTATTGTTTTCAGCTGTGAAAAGGACGTCAGTTGGAACTAATTACTGGCTTTCCGATTTATTGCTGTTAGCCGATTTTTCCGGCATTTACACTGATCTCCATGACGGTAGCTCGTTGAATTTAAATGTGACGGTGTTAAGTCCTTGAGAATATTGATAAAATTGGGTATGACAGACTATTTTTTGCTGCTGATTTGACATGTGAAATGCTCTATATTATATCTGTATTTTAAAATTATGAAGTTCTAGAATACATCATAACATATGGCTATGTATTGGAAATTTATCAAGTCGAAATAAATCATTCTTTTATTGGGGCGTGAAAGTCATCATTTACTCAGTTTATCGTTTCATTAAATTATAAAAACATTTGAATCAGTATCCTTCTTTTCTTTCTTCTTCATATAATGCTTTCCATTTTCGGTTCGATTTGACATATCATGTTCAACTTTTAAATGTTTTATTTTTTTTTTCATAGAACCATCAGTAATGACACAAATAACATTTAGACTGGTTAAAAATGATAATTATTTTAGCACAAAATTCCA